CAGGCGCACCAATGAACAATTAATCGTTAACATTTAAAGCATACTACAGACTGATCTCACTAAAGATCTTTGTATCGATTAGACATTTTGAAGAACATTGGAGTAAGATTTTCTTAATGAGAACCTCAAATAAAACTCTGATTTCTCAGCTCTACAATAAAATTGCGGAAATGAGAAGTAATTCATGATAAAACTTCTGTTTGAAAATTCCTGTCGATAATTCTAACGTTTCAGATCGAAGGAAGTTGTGAAATAGTTAGTTCTGGGCCAGATGAATTAAAAATACAAAGGGGTAGTGCTATGAAAATATGGGATTAGACCTGGCAGCTGATAGCCACGAGTGGCGCCCTAGAGGGGTGCCAACGAGCGACTAGCTGTTGCATAGGGTTATCTTCTGAGATACTGCTTCGAAATGTTGGGATTCATTGAATAAACGTCAATAATCGAGGTAAGATGGGTCTGTATAAAGTGTAGCAGATGCAGAAAGCTGAAAAAACTATGTCAATTCAAGGATGAGAAATAGTTGTTATATTTGGACACAATAAATGAATAGTTCGTCAGACGAAAACCATTATTGAAAGAATTTATATGTCCTGTATCGGTAGTCGACGTAAATGAAATAAAAGAGTACTTTTTTGGTATTTGCTTTTCTTTGTATTAATTCAAGTATCTGAATGTATATTGATATATTCAAATTACCTTTCTAGTATTATCACTACTTTGAATAAGAGCTTGTTCTATGCATGATATTTCGATCAGAGATCAGATATAATATGATTTATTTTAAGGTAGGACTTTCACTGAGCTTCTACTTAGAGAACTCTATAGCGAACAGCATTATCGACGAATGTTATAGAATGTATACAAATTTCTAGTAGAATTTCCTAAAAGTACTCTGCGCTTTCGTATAATTTTTGTGAACTTCTATTGCTACACGATCTCTGAAAAATTGAATATGATATCTTTTTCAGGCGAGGGCTAAGCGAGTCGAAGTGACGAGCGTTACTTGTATTTAGAAAACATAATAGTATAGGGGTATTTGTAAGACACGCGAACACCCATGAACATTCCTAAATCTGAATTTGATACTACCAGTAGATAGAGCTCGTTGAGTTGATTCTACGAACACCCAAAACTGTTGAACATTAAGAAAAGTTCCCAATACACACTGTTTTTTCAATTCACGAACACTCAAAAATCCCGCACGAGCACCCATATCTTTTGCCTGTGAGTAGACCTAGTCGAGTTATATAAGTGTTCAAAATATTAGACCCTTATAATTCTGATTAAGAGAAATAGCACATATGAAAAAGCAAATTTTTTGGTGGGTGCGGGTGTGGGTGTGGGTTTGGGTATGGGTGTGGGTGTGGGTGTGAGAGTGGTGTGGGGAATCGGTGTGAAGAGAGAAACATACTCACACCCACACCCACACCCGACCATCAATATTGTAAAAAGTTTTCTATTTCGTGTCTTTAATATATTCTTGATTTGTTTAGTTGAATTTTTCAAAAAAAAAAAATTATGAAATAGTGAAGGGTGTGGAGGTTGATCCAAAAGTATTTTTTGCTCACGCCCACACCCATCTTGTCGTATGATTATTAGGAAAGAAACTTTCAATAATGTAGCATATTATAAAAGAAAATCACAGAAAATTAAAATTCCAAATATCACTATTAAGTTTATATTAACATATTTTTGATAGAATCTCTACATCATCTGTGCCATAACACGCTATAATGATGTCCACCAAACCATCATGATCTAAATCTGTGGCAGCAATTGAATAAGGACGATAGTTATAACCTAATACATGTAATTCTTCATTACCAAATGTTCCATCACCTTTTCCGTACAATAAAAGTATGGTATTTGTGCCAGCATTTGCAATGGCAATATCTAATACGTTATCATTATTTAAATCGACTATGGCAACTGCGCTTGGAAGAGAATGATCTCCTGTGGAATAGAATGTTGCAGTTCTGAATGTACCATTACCATAACCAAGAAAAACGGCGATGTTGTCAGTTTTTGAATTGGTTGCAACAATGTCTGAGTGATTGTCATTATTCAAGTCTCCAACTGCAAGGAAGGATGGAGCAGAATCGACCCCAACGGAATATGCCACCATATCATCAAAAATTTCATTCGGAAGTCTAATGAAAATACCTACATTGTTTTTGCCAGTATTAGCTAAAGCAACATCGAAAATACCGTCGTTGTTGAAATCTCCTACAGTAACGAAGTGCGGCTGCGATCCGATATCAGGGCGTCTTACTTTTGCCCTTGCATAGGGTTGAGTACCAGATCCGAGAAACACACCAATAGTGTCGGATCCAGGATTAGCAACAACAATATCTAACTGACCATCTCTATTGAAATCACCAACCGCTAATGTATTCGGTTGAGATCCACTACCTGTTGAATATAGATCTCCCTGTAAAAAGGTTGCATCTCCTAATCCAAAATGTACAGAAATTTGGTTTGTTCCGTAATTGACAATAGCAATATCTAATATGCTATCCTGATTGAAATCACCAATATCAACATAAAGTGGTCTAGAACCAGAACCAACAGGATACGTTTCAGGATCATCAAAAGATCCGTTTCCATGTCCAATAAAAATACTCATGCTATTATCATCACGATTAGCAGTGACTATATCAAGTTTATTATCGTTATTGAAGTCTCCTAATGCTACCCACATTGGTTGAGTGCCATAAGCTGTTGAACAGTTAACTTGTTTTGCAAAGCTACCATTACCATATCCAAGGAGGATGCCAATACTATTAGCATGAGAATTAACAACAACAATATCTGCTTGATTGTCATTGTTGAAGTCAGCAATCCTGACCACTTCTGCAAAATAATTATCATCGATTCGGTGAGAAACCATCTCAGCAAAACTGCCATTGCCATATCCATAAAAAATGCCTATATCATGAGTACCAATATTAGTCACAACTATATCTATTAGTCCATCATTTGTAAAATCAGCTACAGCAACTGAACATGGCATAGAACTCGTTCCAGTTGAGAAAGTCATAACATCAGCAAAACTTCCATTGCCATATCCTAAAAAAATACCAATATTATCAGTACCCGTGTTAGTTACTATCACATCCAATTGGCCATCCATATTAACATCACTGACAACCAACGAATATGGATTTGAATTCATTGTAGTTGAAAATATTAACGGAGTGTTGAAACTTCCATTACCATCTCCAAGAAAAATACCCAAATTATTAGTCGTATAAAAAACAACAGCAACATCTAGATATTTATCATTATTGAAATTGCCCACGACGGCTGCACGTGATCCAAAATTATCTATCGCTCGATATACTCTTTGGTTGTAAAATGTTGCATAGTTATAACCAAAAAATACCGCTACATTATCTGTGCCTTCATTAGTAGTGATTATGTCTAGTCGAGTATCATTATTGAGATCAACAAATACGAATGAACATGGAAGTGAACCAGATCCTGTAAAGTATCTTTGTGGTGGTTTAAAACTTCCATTACCATATCCTAGATTCACACTGATACAATTACTCCTTGTATCAGCAGTGACTATATCAAGAATACCGTCATTGTCAACATCAGCAGTATTGACATATTGTGGATGTAAACCAGTAGAAACCGAGTACATGATTTGTTTTTCAAATGTACCATTACCTAAACCAATACGTACATTTATAGTATCAGATCCTGAATTAGCGAGGACAATATCTGATTGATTATCTTTATTGAAATCACCAACAGCTACTGAATACGGTTTTGGAGCATAATCGATCCGATACATTATTTGTTTTTCAAAGTTCACCGCATAATACTCAGTTAGGATCGCCACATATCCGTTACCCCAAAGTGTTACAACAATTTCGAACTGGTTATCATTATTAAAGTCGGCAAGAGCGAGACCATATGGATTAGCATCACTACCAATAGAATACGTTCTTTCAAGTTTGAAATCTCCATTGCCATGTCCGAAAAAGATAAGTATATGACCATTGCGAAAACATGAGATAATAATATCTAGTTGATCATCATGGTTATAATCAGTGACAATAACGACGTACGGTTGAGACTCAGAACCAGTTGGATAAGTCCTTTCTTTACTAAATGTCCCATTACCATATCCCATCAGAACACGCATTTCATTGAAATCCGTGTTAGCGATGACGACATCTGATCGATTATCACGATTGAAATCAGCTAGAGCAATTGAGTAAGGAGTTGATTGGGAGCCAGTTGAATAAAATTCTATCATTCTAAAATCTCTGTTGTTATGATTAACAAAGAAAAGTAAACCGCCAGGATTTGTAATAGAGACAACAATATCTAATAGACCGTCATCATTGATATCACCAATAGCTATTGCACATGAATATGAGCCGATAACAGTAGAATATATTGTCACAGAGGAAAAGCTTCCATTACCATACCCATAAAAAATACCTATGCTACTACTCTCTCCATTAGCAGAAACAATATCTAAATGATTGTCATTATCGATATCACCAACAGCGATGCGACTTGGCATTGAACCTATGCCTGCAGAATATATCGCTGCAGTTGTAAAGTTTCCATTGCCATGTCCAAGAAGAACGCTTATGCCACCAGAACCTGAATTACCAGTGACAATATCTATCTGGTTGTCATTGTTCAAATCAATAGCATAGATACATTGTGGACGAGAGTTATTCCCAGTCCAATAGGATATTTCATTCAGAAAATTTCCATTATTATAATCAAACATTAAGCGTACACCACTGTTGTCGTAACCATTAACGACTATATCGAGTTGATTATTATTATTAAAATCAGCAATAGCAACTGTACTCGGATGTGCTGAAGCTATTAATAGATATCTTTTCGATCTTGTGGATGGCATTATGGAATATCCTTCAAGTATCAGCAACTTATTAGTTTCATAATCAATCATAGCCATATCTGATTGGTTGTCTTTGTTAAAGTCAGCAATAGCGACTGCAATAGGATAAGATCCACCTACTATATCATATGTAGCTATTTTAGCAAAGGTTCCATTCCCATATCCGGGAAAAACATGTACTTGATTATTATTTGAATCAACCGTTATAATATCCAATGCGTTATCATTATCAAGATCACCCACTGTAACGTATTCTAGATGAGAGTTTACACCAACTAAATATGTGATTTGTGATGTAAAAGTACCATTATTATGATTAAGAAATATACCAATATTGCCAATACCATAATTGGCTACAACAATATCTAAATTCTGGTCATTATTAAAATCTCCTATTGCAATAGAAATTGGATTTGAGTTCGGACCAGTTGTATAAATTTGTTGATTTGTGAAGCTTCTGTTACCGAATCCAAATAGAATACCGATGTTATTCGTACCATAATTTGCAACAGCGATGTCTAGATAATTGTCTTTATTGAAATCTCCGATAGCTAATGATCGTGGGCTGGAATCATAGCCAGTGAAATATATTTCTTGATCTTCAAATAATCCATTACCATGTCCAAAAAATATACCAATAGAATTGGTTCCATAATTAGCAGTTATTATATCAGATTTGTTATCATTGTTGAAATCTCCAATGTTGATAAATATTGGACGAGCAGAGTCAGTTGATAATGTCGTTGAATTAATAAATGTCCCGTTACAATATCCAAGAAATATTTTAATATTATGACTATTATAATTAGCAACAGCAATATCAAGACAATCATCACTATTCAAATCATCGACAACCACCCAGTAAGGAAGGGATTCAGTACCGGTCGAATATGTATTATTTGTCGCAGAGGTTGCATTATCAGAAAAAAGAACTACCAAAATGTTGTGTGTACCGGAAGCAGTCACAACAACATCTGTTTGATTATCATTATTGAAATCTCCGACAGCAAGAGATCGTAATTTAGCATCATGAACAATTGAACTTTTACCAAGTCGCCGAAATGAGAATTGACATGTCTTATCTAAAACATAAGAGATAAATACGCATTTATCCATCCTCGTTGTATATTATTTTATTGAATTAATTTTAATTTATAAGAACTTATTCGAAAATTCGTTTACGAAACAAAACGAAAACTATGCTTACTTAGTTTACGTGAAGCAAAATGAATTATTAAGACACTACTGATGATTGCTATACTAGTGAATAGAGCGAACATGATCATGCCAAACGTACCCAGGTTGGTGTGTAAAAAGTAATAAAATCGATTCCTATCAAGAGAAATTAAAATTAAATCAATTTTATGATAATAAAAGAAAAACATACCGCAGTCTTAAATATGTATGTAATAATTCCATTAGCCAGCAGTATGTCGAAACAAAAGATTTTGTTTTTGAAATGGGACTTCAATGGAAAACTTAAGGGGGGGCTGACCACCCCCTAACCCCTAGTTTTTTTTCGGCCATTTTGTAGAGAATTTAAAACTGCATATATCCTCCAATTTTTTCGGAAAACGGACGTACTTTGGTTGCGCTAGA